AGGGATTCTGACCGTGTCCATTGATAACCCAGGAGCAATCATAACCCCAATGTGAGTTTTCAGAAAAGTTCTCAAATATTAATATAACTGAAATTGCTGTTCTGAGCCATTTAGCAAGTTCCTTGCACATAATATTTCAGGTGACCTCAAGGTCCCAGCTTCTTGTGAAGACTTTTAAATCTGGCCCCTTTCTGAGTGTTTCTGAGCTATGTCTGAATAATATCACAGCTGGATTTTACAAGGCATCTCCCAATTAGGAGCTTCATGTGTATGGAGTTGAAGAGTGGTGGGCTAGTAGATTTTCACCTGTCTGCCTCTTCCAAATCAGACTGTATTGAAGCTCTTTTCCTCCCCTATCTGAATGAAAATTAAGTTGAATTTAGTTGAAGTGATGGTAATAGTTCCTCCCTGATTCATAAAGATACTGGTAGAGTTGTGCTTAAAGAAAGCGTTGCTGTCTTTGGGAATTTGATGGCACTATTATTTCATGAGGTGTTTTATTTTAAAAATATCTTGAGTAGCTTTTTTTCATTAGTAACATTTTATCTGTAAGGAAGACTATACCAATTTCTATTTTTTGTATATATGGGAATAAATTATGTGTTTTACAGTGGGATTGAGAGATAGTTTCCTGTCGGGACACTTGCTGTCTGATAACAATAACAAATGCTACCCTTATATAGTTCTGCCTGATTTCTACCATCTTGAATTTGTGCCTTCCAGCTGTTCAGCCAGTTTGATCAAATGGCTTGATGAAAAATTTATACCTTTATCAGCATTAAGGCTTTATTGCATAAAACACTTTATTCACTGTGTCCTTTGTAACATTCTTCTTTCACAGTTCCCAGAAATTACGATTAACACGTACTCCTGTGCCACCATTTCTGATGAAGAGGGACCAATCTGAAGAGAAGAAGATTCCCAAAGGGGTTCCATTGCAATTTGATATTAATAGTGTTGGAAAACAGGTAAACGCAGTTTCTTTCATAACTGTGGAAACAGTTTCAAGACGGATATAAGTCAGTGAGCCAGGCACTTTTCTCTGTCACTAGTAAATCTAGGAGGAAACTAGTGAATACTTCTTGTTTACACTTCCAGTTCTTCTACTAACTTGCTGTGTAACTTCAAGCAAGTAACTGAACTCACTGTTCCTGTTCCTCTAATTCATGTCTTGCATGCTCACATGCTTTAAATGGCATTTCAAATGTTGACTATTTCTAAAAGCCTTCTGGTGCTCCTGCTGTGCTTGAATCAGCAGCTGTGTGTAATTCAGGGATGAGCTGCTTTCAGTTGTGTAACCTGCATGGAACTCTTGAGAGGTGAATGTATAAGGCAACTTTTGCTATGCATCTAGGGAGAAGAAAAAAAAAATTGTGATGACAAAGGCTTGAAAGATGAGAAATTTTTTACAAGTTTCATGAAGACAGGAGATGGGTTGCAGGAATCTTAGTGCTGTCATTGAGAGAATTCTTACAGGGTGATAATTAGATGGTGTGCCAGCCATAGAAAACTACATGGGATCAGTGCATTGGTCTGAATTTGTTCCTTCCATGAATAAGTAGTGTTCCAAAAATAGCCTACTACTATACTGTAAAATTAATTGACCTTTTAGACTTCAGTCTGCTGCCTTAACTGAGTGGACTGGAAAACAACCTGCATTTAACACAGCTGAAATGCTGCATTTGTTGAAGTTGCATAGAATCTGTGTAGGGAAATGAGTGTAGCAAAAGTTCCCTTTTTCAGTCTGTCTGTCCTCAGTTTAACTTAAAATATTTTGAGTAGACTTTCAGTCTTGACATCATGTACCATCTTAATGAGTTCTGAGAGATGCTAGCTCTTGATGTATATATAGTCCAATCTGATTTTTAAATGACGTGGGAAATGATGAATAAAAATAAACCTCCTTTTTTCTTTTTTTTTTTTTTTTTTTTGAGACAATTAAGAAGTCAAGTGATGATACAGAATGAGGAAAAAAATTATTCTTGTCTCCATTACTTTGATTAAAGTAACCTAACACTTTTACATTTGTGGTGAAATTACGGTATTTTTCAGACAGGGATGACGTTGAATGAACGTTTTGGGATCTTGAAGGAACAAAGAACAGCACTGTCTCAGAACAAAGGAAGCCGTTTTGTAACAGTGGGCTAATCTCACAGATGGACTTGAGCACTGATCCCACCTACGTAAGAAACTGAAATAAAAGTGGGCAGAAGAATACAGCATACATCACTGAAATTCTCCAGACTTCTTGCTAAGATGGTGGCAGAGCTATCTATCTTTATTACTTTTACTTTGAGTGGTAAAAGAAGTGATGCCCTGAGGGGGGGGGAAGTTGGGAAACTGATCTGCTGGAGTGGCACCATCACCTGGTTGGAAAAGATTCTGTTGCCCAGCTGATGACAAATGCTAATCTTGGTTCATCTTGCAACCAAAACACAAACATGAATTTCAAAAGTTGGGGTTTGGGTTTTTTTGTTTGTTTGTTTGTTTAGGAGTGCTCAGTATCTGTTCTTTGACCCCTCTGTTATAGTAAAGATTGTGTGTTTCATTACAAACCCCATTTTAGGGTTTTTTTAAGGACTGCCTATGAACTTTCCTTTGGACTGCAGTTTGGCACAGAGCCCCAGTCCATGAATACTTTGATAGTGATGTAGCGGCATTTTTCATGGAGCATTGTTTGTACTTCTTTGTGCTTTTGAAGTTCAGTTTTTTCCTTTCTTGAAAACTAAATGTTTTGCATCTTCACTTTCACAAATAAAGCTGTTAGCTGAGACCCAAAATATGTAATTGGGATGGAGACTATTCTACTCTTATCCTTAAAAGTGGTCCAGATAATATTGGAGAAATACTGTACAGGCAGTATGAAAGTATTTTATATTGCAAACAGCTCAAGTTCATCTTCTTCCTCTGTAAATGGAGTATGTCTGTCTCCTATTTTTTTAAAAAAACTTTGCTTTCTCTTTCTTTTTTTAAGTTTTTTCGCAAACTTAATGCAATAACTTCACATTTTTGAAAAATTCCATAGGAATAAATACAACAATTCACAAGAAAGTCAGTGGTATGGTAGAGTTCCTTACCCTCCTAGACGCAGGATTCTCATCTTTCATACCTTGCCTTAGAGGGTTTTCTCTGGCTCTTACAAATAGCCAGAGGCAAGCAATCTAATGACATTTGTTTGTATATACCAAAGAGAGGTAAGATGTGAAGCTGATTGGAAGTGGTCAGATATCTTGAAATCGGCTGAAACTGGGGAACATTGCTGGAAGAAAGCCCTCGGTTTGCCAGCATGTGTAAGGCATTAAGCAGAAGCATGTAGTCACTTGCTTTAAGCTTAGCTTTGTGCATCAAATCTGCAGGATGGTAGCAACTGGACCGTCCTCAATCTGAATTTATATAATCCCTAAAAATGAGGCACCTGTTCAGAATTGCTTCCAGACCAGGAACTGGTGAACTTAACACTGTTGTATAGCAATGAGATTTAGGTACAGTCAGGTAAAAGAATGATTGGCTTGCTGCATCCAGAAATTATTATGGTGATTGAAGTGGGTTTAATTCTTTTTATTGTTCTTGAAGAATTTACATTTGACTTCTTACAGACTTGGTTTTCTTTCATTTTTATCTCAAATTCTGAGTTAACTAGCATTTACCAGGAATTTCAACATTGAAGAGTATTTGACAGTAGAAGGGCTTTTGTTTGTATAGTAGTTTTAAAGTCAAGAGTGCATCCTGATGCTATATAGTACTTAAACCGTTATTTTTAATGTTGAAAAATATACCTTAGCAGAAGCAAACTAAATGTAATGGTGTTAAGGTTTTATTCTTAATTACTAGTAGGAATCTTTTTTTGGAAAAAATGTCCCACTGTTAGAATTTGAGTAGATAAAGTGTTGTCAGTCATCCTGTTTCAGTGTATACCTTTTCCATGTGCCAGGATGCAACAAAAAATTTCTTTTGCATCAGCATAGATGCAAAACCTTGATGCAATGCATCAAAAAATGCTAGTTTGTATTTAATGAGAAGATGCTTTACACTGTACCTTTTGGTATTTTTTGGAGAAGTTATTACATTTGATCTATTCTGAAGCTGTTAATTTTTTTTTTAAATAAAAAGTTACAGGTTTTGTACTGTCTTGTTCCTGTTACAACCACCTGGGCAATATATTTATGTGAATTTTCTGATATCCTTCAAGGGGTTCTTAATGATTAAATTCTTCATAAACTTTCTGAAGAATATGCAAAAAGGCAGGCTAATTTAAAGAGGGCTTGCAGTCATTGCCCAGCTTAATAACCTGAAAATTAAGCACTTATTGGAGTAGCACTGTATAAACTCACTTGCATTTAAATGTGTCAGCTATTAATGTATTTTTCAGTGGCACCATCTAATTTAGTTGTTTGGTGTCTTGCTAGTGAGAAGTCGCTGTAATCTCAACCTTGTATTACAGGATCAGCGTGAACACCCTGATAAACAACTGCGGTTGTTTTCCAGCGTGGTGCTGGCAGGAGACTTGCACAGGCAGTGGAAGTGCTGCTATTAATTGGTGGTCCAGGAGAAAAAAATACTGCCTGTAAATGTGCGTGATAAGGTGTTGAGGATGGCAAGTGTCTTGGCAGCTGAGTATCTACAGTCTTTGTTCTTCGTTACCAGCTAAAGTCCGTGTGGCTGCCAGCTTTGGGCGGTGTTCAGACACACAACAGTTATAAGCAGCTGCTCGGTGCTTTCCCAGAGCAAAACTGGCATTTATTCGGCCGCTGCTTCTTGGTTTGCTGCTGGAACGGGTCAGACGACGCACCCAAAAACCAGGTTACCCCGGGCGAGTGCAAACACCAGCCCGGAAAGAGGCTATTTCAGGTTAATTTTACGAGGCGCGCGCCGCTGTCCCTGGGTCCGTAGGCGGGAGGCTGCGCATGCGCACTCCCCCTCCCTGTCAAGGCTGGCGCATGCGCCCGCCCTGCCGGTCGCTGGGCTTCCCCGCGCCTGCGCAGTGGCGCGCGAAGCCGGAGCGGCGGCGGCGGCGGGCGGCGGCAGCGGCGGCGGGGGGGAAATGGCGGCCGCGGTGCTGGTGGCGCCGGAGGGCGGCTCTGCCGTGATGCCGGCGGGGAATGCGGCGGCTTGTCCTCCGCCACCTGGTCCCTCAGGTCCGGGTTCGTGGAGCCGCTCCTTGGACCGAGCCTTAGAAGAAGCGGCGGCCAGCGGTACCCTCAGTTTGAGCGGCAGGAAGCTCCGCGACTACCCGCGGGCCAGCGCCGCCAACCACGACCTCAGCGACACCACCCAGGCCGGTGAGGGACGCGACGTTGGGGTGGGGGGAGCGAGACAGCGGGGAAGGGGAGTAGGGGAAACGCCTTGCCCTGCTCTCGCAAGCGCCTCAAGGCTGGGGGTAGGTGGTGTGGCAGAGCCCGGCGGCTCCCGTCAGAGGGGGCTTGCGGGGGGCTGGCTGTCCTCTCCTCCCCCAGAGCGTCCCCTCGGGGAGCGTTGCGGGTGGGAAGAGGACAGCCAGCCCTCCGCTACGGGTGAGGCTGAGGTGATCAATTTGCCGTCTCTTCAGTAAATTAAAGCTGGATGCACGAGAGGAAGAAATTTCCTCAGAAGTAGTTCGGGGGATCCATCAGTTTCTTTTGGAAGTGTACGTGTGGGTGTAGAGGGGGACTTCTGACTGGAGGCTGTGCTTGGCATATTTCTTTTCCACGCTTTCGCCTCCTCCCTTCGCTCTCCGCCCTTCCTCTCCTCGGCTGAGAGGCAGGATGGAGGAGCAGGGTACTCCTTCCTCTGTCCGTCGCGGCTCTGGCCGATGCGCTCTCGATTTGTTGGGTTTTTTTCTTTGTCGTCTTCGCTCTAGAGGTGTTTCCCCTGTGAGGCTTTTCGCAGTACTGCCGCTCACTGATGTGGTTTCAGCCAGACATGTTCTTGTTCTGATCTATGTATACGTGAGTGTGTATGTCCATACACATATATACGCACCCTTGCCATCTCTCATCTTGTGACGTTGACAGGGGAAACCAACTTTCCAAGAAGGGCTGTCAGGTGTGCATATGCTAAAGACAACTGTTTCTTTTGCTCTTATTCTTCTATTATTGTAATTTCTGACAGCCATAAGCAAGATGTGGAAGGTAGTGTGAACAGAAACAGATCCCTTTTCTTTTTTTTCTCCAGTATTATATGGATAAAAACATTAAGGATTTTTAAGAAATACTTTCCAAGGTCCAGTAAGCAATAGGGCTGTTTTTTTCCCCTCTGTTCCTTACTCATAGGAGTAGATGAAAAATGTGTACTTTTCCTTTAAGCACCTTGATCATAAGCAAAAACACATTTGTGGAATATGTTTACATATTACTGTATTGAATAGAGAGGTGAGACTTGGGAAACGAGAGTTTGTGCAGGACGTAAAAGTTTTCTTAATGTGTTATATAGAGCAAATTTTAGTTGTATCTGTGTTATCTAGTTGTATAAGTGAAGTTAAAGTATTTTTAAAAGGTGTCAGCATGCTATTTGTTTGTAACTTTGATTACTTCCTATGCAGTCACTTAGACTTTTCTGGTGTTTTGTGTTGATCTGTAGCTTAGAAATAAACTCCAAACATCACTTTTGAAGGTTACATTTTGAAGATTTATGCAAAAATCTGTCACTAATAAAAAACCAAACAAACAAAAAAAAAAACCCAGCCAAACATTGAGACAACTGTGGTTTGTTTGACTTGAACATATCTATAAGTAGAAAACACTACTTATTAGGGTATAAAATTTTTTTAATTCAAAGGGTTTTCTACAAATGCAGTTACACAATGAATGTGTAGTGGGCTAATCTGTAAGTAAATGCAGCATAAACATTTGTGAGGGATTTGGGCTTTTTGTTTATAATACTATTCATTTACTGTACTCTTAAACAATTTGTGGGAATTCTTGTTTCCGCCAAGGTTCCCATCTATTGTGATGAATATTTGCATTGTAGTTGTTCAAGAAGCATTAAATGCTAATAAGCAGCAGTGCGTACCATACGCTTTTGTGCATTTATTATCACAGTGAACCTTAGAAACAAGCTAGAACTGTTCTTAAGTTGTAAGAAGCAGAGTTTATTGAGGGGGACACACATTCTTTTTAAATTCTCTGTTTTGAAGGCTACTGTGAAAACTTTATCTTTTGCCTTTTTTTTAGTGTCATCTGTTCTATGACTTTTTTGTTTTTGATAAGGCTGGGCAGTGGAGAAAAATCCATGCAAGTGTTTCTGACCCCCAGTTTTCAGTTGAATGCTCAGCTACAAATTTAATCCACTTCTTTCCCCACATCAATTTCTTTCTTGTGAAACTTCCAATTCTTTTGTATGGGAGTAGCCACTAATAATGTGGTATAATATGTAAGTGTATTAGGTATAATAAGCACTTTAAATAATCCCCTAGACTGTAGACTCCGAGTGCCTTCCTACAGGCCGTGCCATGTGTGTGGAGTTTCATAAAAATCATTGGAATTACTCCCAAAGTATAAAACTGAAGACAAAATAAAGTATATGCAAATCTTACTCCTTTTCATGTGACGGAATAGACACCTCTCTAGTGTGGATCACGTTATACTGGTACAGCTCATTCCCGTTCTTGCAGTAATAAAAGTAATTGCATGTCACTGTAACTGCATTGATGCTAAAGAGGTGGGAATGAATCACATCCCTCATTAATGTAACTACATTGCTAGAAAACCAGCATCCAGCATAGCCTTAAGCCTTAACAGAATCACTGACCTTGCCTGGAAGCTGTTGTTAATGCAAATGAACCAGCAAAGCGGGTCAGTAGGAACCGGGCATTACAGATTAGATGCTTGATCAAGCTTAGTTGGGTGCTCTGTGCAGATTTTGAGTTTGATGATGGGTGAGGGGAGAATCCCTTTAAGTAGATGTCGGCCATAATGTGCGTTTTCAAATGTTAAATCAATGGAAATATGACATTTATTTGGATCTTTTATGGGTTCAGAGTTGACAGTAATACTAACCCTGGTACTCAAGCTGTAATATCTTCTAAGTACCATTCTTAACTACTCACTAAATAATTATCACAGCTGGCTTTCTGGCAGGTGTAGCTTAACTTTAGAAAAATACTTGATAAACAGAGTATCTCAAGTTGGAAGGGACCCATAAGGATCATCAAGTCCAACTCCATGTTCCTCACAAGACCACCTAAAACTAAACTGTACAACCAGATCAGGTTTGATGTATTTTTATTCTAGAAGTTAATATAATATTTCTGTTAGGCATCAGTGGAAAAATGAAGTTCCTTATTAATCATTTGCCTCAAGTCACTAAACATTTCACAGGAAAGTGAGTTCTCTAGTGTTGTCAGAGCCTCAGCTGCTTCTGGACGCTGCTGTCTTCCAGATGGTGAAGACGCATAGGTGGCTTTTTAAACCAAAACCAATGCTCAGGATTGTGAGCAGGTAACTTCAGTAGGCATTGAGGTAATAGTGAGTTTCTGGTTGTTTTGTACTTTGACTGAATTAAGATCATATATTATAAAATCACATTGAAGATGGGACAGTCTACGCTTGAGAGCTTTGGAATGGATTAGTGGGAAGGAAGCTCCCCACAGCGCGTGATGCAGTAATACCATCTAACATTCCTGTACATGTGGGATGGCTCATGTATAAGAAATGCAGTGTAATAGTAACTTAGATACTGAAAGAGGGGAAAGCAGCTGTTGTTTATGCTCATCCCTTACAACTTAATTGGGATTTTAGGAAGTGACTCAAGCTTACAAAGTTCATTGATGAAGAATGAGCAGCAGGCTTCTTCGCTAGCAAAGCAAGGATGTGCTTCTCTTTCTTTCATACTCTTTCATTTAACCTGCATTATCTATCCCCATTTTATCTGGTTTGAATTACAGCCTATTTGTTCATTCTACTCTTGTTCTTGACCAGGGAATAGGAAAAGGAAGGGCTATAAACCATCTAGTTAAATATGAAAGGAAGCACAGTTGCATTTTGCCAGTGTTAATGTAGACTCTGATGTCATTATTTGACAGCTTTCCCAGTGGCCTAAAGCATACATTGAGCATAAAAGTTATTTGTCAAAGCCTTCATGACAGCTGTAATTACCTAAACCACTCACTGTCTCCATTTTTAAAGGAGAACAGGGGAATATGTGGGTTTATGCAATATAAGAAATGGCTGTTGTATGGAAATCAGCTAGTAAGATAATTACATGCAGCATACTATGTCTTGTTTCTGGAATATATTAATAGTGAAAAAGGATAACAAGACTCTGAAAAGGAAAAAAAAAACCTGTCTGCTACTACCTTTTGAATGACTTTGCCAATAAGGTATCTCTACAGTTTTGCTGTTAGCAGCTCTCCATAGAAATGGTAAAATCTGACCATAGTATCAATAAAATCTCTATGTGCAAAGTGCTTGCATGGATTTAGAAGGACTACAGTGACTATGTGAGTGTTCTGCAGTAAGAGGTCTCACAGGTATTTTTCTTTCCTGCCAGAAATTTAGTTGATGTTACCTGATGTGATGTAAAACAGTTTGAGAAGTACAGTATGGCTCATACAGCAGTGGCCATGTTTCCCAAACGTTTGTTCTTACAGCCACAATAGCAGAATCCAAACCAGCCTAAAATTAAATAATTGTTTGAAAAAAAAACAAAACAAAACAAAACTAAACTCTTTGGGTGACTGTATCTTGAATGTAATTTTATTATGATCTTTGAGATGGAAGGATTGTTCTTTGTTCAAGTCACAGTCTATTTGTCAGGAGACTTTACCGTGTTGGTACTTAGATTATTATCTAAAGTTTCAATACTAAAAAGCAAAATCTAACATTTTGTTAGAGTAGTTCAGAGTCTTGTGCTTAGATTTGTATTCTAGCAGTATCAAAACCCAAACAGAAATACACTGTCCAGAGGTTCTAGATGCTGTAGGGGCAAAAAGGAGGGAGGATGGCATTCTTCGATCCAAACTGTAGATGGTAATCTAGCTAGTTCCATTCAGTTGCATTTTTTGGTCTTACCTCCTGTTTGTGTCAGTCCCTTTATAATTTGACTGTTGCTCCCTCTTGTTTTCTTTCTTGTTATGTTTCTTTTGTTAGACAGTCTTGATCTCATGTCCTGTGCATAAATACTGGCAATTCTTAGTCTAGGCTAATGGAATTATCCGAGAGTGGTGCTTTGGTAAGCCAGTAAATTGAGGTCAGTTCTCTTTTTTTGTTACACTTGAAATGCAGAGCGCAGTAGACTGTTGTAGTTTATAGTTTGTTTTTGCTGAATGTGTTGAGTTGGGTTTTGATGGAGAGCTGAGGCCTAC